CTCATCTGTTCTTGAATTTCTTTAGATCACGGCATGATGTGTTGTTCTTTAAGCATGCTTCACTTTCTCAGACAGCTTCTATTGAAGTGATTTCTTTATTCAACAGGTCTGGCAGTAATCAGGCCTGTGTGTGTCGCTAGTGAAATTGAACTCAGCTTTCTAAAATAATGTGGTTAATCATAGTTCTTTCATGTTTTAACAGGAGGGGGGCAATTAATTTTTCACGTAGGGTCAGGTAGGTTTGGACAGCTTTTTTCTCTTAATAAATCGTTTAAAAACTGCATTTTGTATTTACTTGCATTATCTTTGTGTAATATTAAAATTTGTTTGATGATCTGAATATTTGCTGTTTATGACAGGACAGACCTCAGGAGCCATCCAGAACGGGGTTCCCACTGATGTGTTTCGGCGTAGACGGGCACTCGTCAGCTGAGCTGAGACGCCTGCAAGAAATCAGAGACCTCATGTGTCAGAATCATAGCTTAACAGGGTTATTTTTCTTTATTTTCCTTGAATGTGTTTTTTATTTTTTCTACTGAAATTTGTGAACATCTGTGATAATAAACAACAATAACTGCACAATTATTTCTCAAGTAGGACCAAATAACAATTGTATGGATTCAGACATTTAGGAGGTGGCAAATGATCTGACGTGACATTAGGGCAGGGAGCGGGCGGCTGGCATTCAACAGCATTACCCGATGAGGGCATTTTGCTTCCCAGCAGGATCCACTTCTTTCTCAAATGCACATGGGACAAACACGCCTCAGGCAGAATCAGCCGCCCCACACACCCTCCTCTTGCCCTCACACACACACACACACACACACACACACTTTCCACGCAGAACACTATTTAACCTCACTCACATGGGTATGTTTGATAAAGCACACAGACGCCTGAATGGCTCCACCTCAATTTAGTGGCATTTAATTTGCTGATAACTCATGAACAGCATTAGCATATTGTTCGATTTATTATGCATACAATAATAATAATATGTGATGTGTATCTGCATAAAAATAATATAATTTAAATCTCATTTATGGTCAACAAATTAATTGCTAGTAAACTGAGGCACACATATGATACAAGTTATTGGTTAGAAGTATAAGGTATCCCTTGTGAAAAAGAAGTGTGCTTAAATGTACTGAATGTGCACCTGTAGTGTACTTCAAATCTTAAAAGTAGATTTAAAAAAACTGAACTTGCAGATAGTAATATAATATTAAATTTAAAAAGCCACTTAAGTGTGCTTAAAAATAGTACACTTTCCAGTGTTGGGGAAAGTTACGTTTGAATTACAATATTGAGTTTCTGCATGAAAAAGTAACTAATTGCATTATTTAGTGTTTTTTTTTGTGTAAAGTAATGCATTATGTTACTTATGCATTACTTGTTGTCACCTGGGCTGAGCTTGCTTCATTTTTTTTGAATAACAAAATCCAAAAGTTACAGTGCTGTGAAAAGGTTTTTGCCCCCTTCCTGTTTTTTATTTTTTTATTTTTTGCATATTTGCCACACTTAAAAGATTCAGATCATCAAACAAATTTTAATATTACACAAAGATAACCCAAGTAAATACAAAATGCACTTTTGAAATAATGATTTTATTTATTAAGGGAAAAAAGCTGTCCAAACCTGCCTGGTACTAAGTGAAAAAGTAATTGTCCTGCTGCATAACCCAAGTGCGCTTGAGCTTGAGGTAACAAACTGATGGCTGGACATTCTCCTTCAGGATTTTCTGATAGAGTGCAGAATTCATGGTTCCGTCAATTATGGCAAGTCGTCCAGGTCCTGAAGCTGCAAAGCAGCCCCAGATCATCACACTACCACCACCATGTTTGACTGTTGAAGAATGTGTTGACATTGATGCAACGAGACAATACTTTTACAATGAGAAATACTTTGATATTGCTGCTAGGGATGATGAATTGAATCAGTAAGGCAGAACTATTTTGTTTCTCATCTGTTCTTGAATCTCTTTAGATCACGGCATGATGTGTTGTTCTTTAAGCATGCTTCACTTTCTCAGACAGCTTCTATTGAAGTGATTTCTTTATTCAACAGGTCTGGCAGTAATCAGGCCTGTGTGTGTCGCTAGTGAAATTGAACTCAGCTTTCTAAAATAATGTGGTTAATCATAGTTCTTTCATGTTTTAACAGGAGGGGGGCAATTAATTTTTCACGTAGGGTCAGGTAGGTTTGGACAGCTTTTTTCTCTTAATAAATCGTTTAAAAACTGCATTTTGTATTTACTTGCATTATCTTTGTGTAATATTACATTTTGTTTGATGATCTGAATCTTTTAAGTGTGACAAATATGCAAAAAAAAAACAAAACAAAAAAACAGGAAGGGGGCAAAAACCTTTTCACGGCACTGTATATTTTTGGCAACTGTAAAAGCCCTTTTACACCAGAAGTGAAATTAATAAGACTCTGCACCTCACTCCCGATTTCTCTCAACATGGGGAAAGGAGAGCTTTAAAGATAAGAAATAAGAAAACAGAGTAACTTGCCTTGTTGTTTGAAAAAAGTAATTCAGATATTTTGCTGTCATTTTAAAAGTAATGCATTACTTTACTAGTTACTTGAAAAAGTAATCTGATTACGTGTCTCTCATTACTTGTAAAGCGTTACCCGCAACACTGACACTTTCATTACTATGTTTCTTAAAACGCTTTAAAAAGTGAACTTTGTAATAAATTTTAATGAATAGTTTTGCTTTAAAGTTTAAATTACTGTTTTAATAATTTTGTTGTGGTTTAATTTTAAATTTGTTATTAAATATTACATTTAAAGTTAATATATTTTAAATGTGCTAAATTGCAATTTCATCATTGCAAACGTTTATACAAATTTGTTATAAAATATTTTAATACATTGAAATGACATTAGGGTATACTTTAGTTTACTATACTTGTCAGTACATTCAGCAGGATACTTTAACCATATTTCAAATACAATAGACGTGATTATGAAATTACATATGAAGATGAACTTAAAGTTGCAATAGGTGATTGTCTTCAGAAATATTTTTTGTTGTGCTGGTTGAAAGTCTCTTCACATAAATTGTATTTATATATTCTGTGGAAGGCGTAGGACCAAGAAATGTTCGTCCAATCAAAACGCTCGGTCCACTTTCCTACCTGCCTGTCAACATGTGTATAATGGTGCGTTCAAGTCATGTCGGATAGATCGTATTTACGAGTTGAACGCACATGAACGGCAGTTGTTATTATGAGTGGGAAACTCGAAATTTTCTTTAAGCCCCGAGTTTCCGAGTTGGGGGCGTGTCAATGAGAAACATGGCGGAATCGATGGATGCAACGTCTGTAGTTGACGGTAAATTTTTGTTTAAATTGATAGTTTAGTGGGTTGTCAGTGACAAGTACTGTAGAACTGCATGTCTGACAGAGGGAGACAGAGAGATTGCCAAAGTAAAACATAAATCACAATACTTATAGGTATTAAGCAGTGACATTGTCAGGCTTTTTATTTACAAAAAATAAGCTTTTTGAATGTGACAGGATTGTAATATAACAATTAATAACAAGTTTTTATGCGATACAGATTAAAGTGGCTTCATAAATTACTTTTTAAAAATATTAAAAACGCAAAACACTGCAAAACACC